GAAACAAACAAAAAAAACCTGTCCCAGTCATCCACCAGATGATTGTTAGAATTACAGCCAATGCTTAAGCAATACAACATCGAGCTAGGAAAAGTCATCGTATGGTTGTTCTGCTTAGGGAATAGCTCTTACTAGTTTACAAAGCGTTGGGCAATCTATTTCTCTTTTACTCTAACTAATTTTCTGAAGCTGCAATATAGAACTGCAGTGTTAGTGCAAGAATATGCTCATCTTCACCAAGGCCTGGGATTTATATTGCAGAAATTCATCAAATTTACATCACTCCAAGTGTACCATGTCCAAATCACCTAGAGTCATTATTACGGACTTTTACATTTCTACCCAAGGAATGGCTGGGTTTCAAAGCTTGATCAACCAGAGTCTTTTACAATGAACTGCAATTAAACAAAGCAGAGTACCAGTTAAAGCCAAAGAACACAAGTACTCAGCACATATATGTTTTGATACAGTACGGTATGTATGTGTATATATATACGCATAAATATGTATATGTTACATTATAAGGAGAATGCCATTCAGGACTTCTCAACTGCAAGAATCCTTTTACCACCTGCAAATCTTGAAACTTCAGCCCATTAAATTTCACACCAAGACAATGAGAACGCCAATATTTTCCAGATTGAATTTTAGCCAATTAACCAAGCAGGGCCAGCTGAAAGAATAGGAGCTTTAATTTTAATAACACCAGTTCTGCGTCAGGCAGATGGCACACATTTCTATCACCAGATTATTTGCCCCTTCCCTGCCCTGCAGTTGTGTATCACGGGCATTTCTATGAGTTCTCAGACCATCACCAGAGTCATACTAACTGATCTGTATCAGTTGCCAGTTGCTGCAATTCATGAAATAATTTCAAACAGCCAGTACAGTTCTGAGGAGAACTTAGCGGTACTGGCTGGAGTCATATTGTTTTTAATCAGGTAATGGTTCTGCCTTTTCATCCCCAGCAAGCCCACTTCTGCTTATAGTGGCTGTCACCATACATACAACCTAAGAGCTGGACAGTTTGGGATACCATACTATTCATTGTAATCCTAAAACCCAGAGCTTATAAAGGTCTGCTGTACAAATTTCACATACAGAGCTGAAAAAAGTCTCATTTAAATCACTTCGAGCAGGAGGTTTCATTTGTTACTTTTTAAAAAGAACTAGGAGCAACAAAACAAAAAAGGCAAGAATAAATGTAACAGGCACTTAAGAGCAAAGTAAATGCAAAACCCTTTTGGATATTTAGAGGAGGGGGAGCTACTCATCTCCCTTGCCCTTAGCCTATCTAGAATTTAGACATCTAGCCCAGACTAATCATTTGTGCTTCCTCCAATCTTGAGGAAACAAAAGCTTCCTTCTGGAGGCTATCACATCCTCAAACAGGGCAAATGAGTCTCTCCGGGGATGGCAGACCCTCTGTAACCACCGGGAGAGTCTGAGCAGTTAGCTAGATTACCTGCCACTTACACAGGTGAGACGAGTCTCTCTCTCTCACTCTTCACATAAGCCACTAACATAAATCCTGAAGGCTTTGCTTGGTTCCTGCATGGACAAACTCACCAACTTCAACAGGGCAAGGGTTTGCTTTTGTGTTTTTGGGAGGCAGAGGGGAAGGTTGGTCGACAGTCCAATCTCACACCGGTGTTGCTCCGACCACTTGCACTAGCCGCTCAGCCATGACGGTTCATGGCCAGTTTGCCCACGTACAAGCACCCATTGGTTACGCGGCATCAGGCAACAAGGGCAAAGGGTGCCACACGTTTTCCTAACACCCAGAGATGCATCTCAGTCTACACCTTCCTCAAGGGGGGCAGCGGAGGGGGAGGTGCTGATCTCCTCTCTGCGGTGACCAGCCATAGGACACAAGGAAATGGAATGAAGCTGCATCAGGGCAAGTTCAGATTGGACATTAGGAAAAGGTTCTTCATGTAGAGGATGGTTAGTCACTGGAACACGCTCCCCAGGGAAGTGGTCATGGCACCAAGCCTGTCAGAGTTCAAGGAGCATCTGGACGACACTCTTAGTCATATTGGTTTGTTTTAGGCAGTCCTGCGAGGAGCAGGGAGTTGGACTCAATGATCCTTATGGGTCCCTTCCAACTCGAGATATTCTATGATTCTAAGTTGAAGTAACTCGACATTCTCCTAGACACCAAAGTAGCTGTGCTGCGTCTTCATGGGCGTGTATGTTACTGAGCACAATCCTCCAAATTTCTGCTGGGACTAGAGAGGTTCAACAAGGACTAGAACTACTCTGTCAGGTAAGCGTAGGCCTTACGCACACATTAAAGTTATACAGCTTTACAAACAGGCTAACATAGATACAACAGCAGAGCCCACCTAGTAGACAATATTTATAATCTATGTGATTGTTTAGTCTGGTATACCTTCTCACAGCATGGAAAGGACAACAAGATATATTGTCAAATTCGCCCTCATATCAGTATAAAATTATTTTATTTTTAAAAAATTAAATATAACAAGGCCCTAACGGAGAGTTATTTTTGTTCAAAATTAATCAAGCAAGTGCTACTGAAACACTATGAGTTTTCCATATAATTTCTTATGGGCAATATTTGTTTTTTAAACAATCGAGAACAAGTTGGGTTTTTTTTAAATAAGCAAACAGTTCTCGGTCCTTAACTCCGGCAGCAAAGCTACCTCTTTCCTTTCTTCACACTGCTGTGTTTCAGTATGTCTGTGTCCCCTGAATTACAGGGCTACCACAGGTAAGTGGCTACAGTACCGGCTATACTCCTGGCAACTCCAAGGTCTTTTTTAAATCCTTCTCATCAGGTCAGATTCACCTCTCTGAGTTTCATGCCAACAACAGCCACACCAGATATTAGGCCAGTATTACAAAACAGGATGAAAAAGCACAGCCAACGTACATCTTCGAAAGTACTTTCCACAAGATAAGCCAAACAGCTCTTGATACGCACGGGCACGTTGGTCCCACGTACTGACAAACACAGCTAGAATTTATTCCCCTGTTTTGGAAAGCAGCTGTAACTGTGTGACCACAACCTGGATGCATCAGTGCCCAGTGCCGGGGGCTCCCCAGCTGCCCCCTCCATGCGCACGGCAGTGCAGAGCAGCCTGCAGAACACAGGCACCAAGGCAGGGTCGAGCTTGACATGGCCTCACCTTCCTCTCAAAAAGATGACGTTTCCCATCCTTCACAAAGGCATATCTTCCCCCAAAGCTCCCCCCAGCTGTCTGACCTTCCTCACTCCAAGAGACCATATACAACTTTCTCACCTACACAACCTGGTCCTCAACCAAGAAGCCTCAAGCTCCTTCACTTCAGGGGGAGGAATCGCCATGTCCCAAAGCCTGGGCATCCTTTTTTAGAGAAATGCTACAATTCATGGTGCATCTAGGACAGCCAGTTGAGCAAGATCGTGCCTAAGTAGGCAATGTTACTCAATTAGCTGAGTTGGCTGAAGGTTTTCCCATTGTAACACGATTTTTCTATTCTAGTATTATTTTTGGTGTAAAAAAAATCAGTGGGGATGGGTGGGTTTTTTTGCGCAAAACTTGATGCTTTTAATGAAAAAAAGGTTGCTTTTCTCAATATTTTGCTGTTTATTTCTGTTGGGAAAACTTGAAACACATCGTTTTTGTCAGGAAAATATCAGTCCGTGTCTGTCCGAATTCCTCCAAGTGTCAGCTGGGAGCTGTAATTCATGGGCTCCATGTCCCCCTGCTTCCCAGAAGGCTGGGCTCCTGGGCACCCCTCCAGCCTTCATGACGCATTCCCCCTTTGACTAACCCATGGTAAGAGCATCATGGGATCTCATCCAAAGAGCTGGGCCCCAGGGGAGACATGGCGCACAAGGCACTTGAATGGTAATTTCTGAGGTCTGCAACAGTAGCTCAAACCGATGCTGCTTTAAGGGCCAAATGGATCTAATTAAATGTTTCCATTTCAAAAGGCTAGAACATTTTATTCAGCGTTTTCCAGCTGACAGTTTCTCATTTTTTGAAAAATTTCCATTCCAGGAAAATTTTTGGTATTTCAGCTTTCCATCTTAATTCAGGATGAAATTAAATGTTCAAGTATCAGAATTTGATGCTATATGGACATTCCGTTTGGGAAACAGCCTTACTAATTAGCTGTCAAAAGTGAAATGACTCCATGCATGCAAGAAGGGTGTGATCCAGTTTGCCTTTGACATCAGTGGAAGCCACTTTTTCAGTTTAGTGGAGCCTGGATGGCATCCCAAAAGACCAAGGGAGGGTGGAGTTGGCCATAGTTGCAGATATTGGAAACAGGAGTCAAGAGTGAAAATAGCAAGAATGTAAGAAGCAGCAACTAAGATGATCCCTTACCTGGATTCAATCAAAACTCAGTTTTACTTCCTTTAGTGAGTAACAGGAGGAAAAATCATTAAGATTATAAAACCTAATTCCCAGTTACAGTAAAGATAGCAGTTAATCAACGCTTTGTAGAGTAGAATAAATCCACAGTATGAATTTGTCATGAGCTCTATAACTTTCAATGGTTCAAAACATTTCCTCAGAAAACCTTCATATACTCCATTCAAGGAGACTACTCTAAAGCTAAAGATGTAATATGGTACTGAACTTCTTGCCTCAGGTTGCCTGTCCTCCCTCAAATCTCGCAAAATTGTCCTGTTGGATTGGTATTACAGGAGCTCTGTCAGGACAGACTAAGGTCTCTGGATCTTGAGCACATCTACAGGTGGAAAGCAGCTAAGTGCGGGCTTCCAGGGTTGACACTCTGGGTGAGGACTGGGCACCAAATCCATCCTCTGCATTGCCCAAACTGTTTCTAGATTTAGCCCCAAGCCTTCCACCTCGAAGAGTAAAAGAAGAGCCCCAAGAAGCCTATGTCCATCAGCAACAGGGTGTGCGTTGAAAGCAAGAGAGCACTCAGAACAGTAAATAAATCACTTCACCCAACCATGAGGGGTCTAGAGAATTGGTTTTTGTTTATCTTTCATTTCCCTTTAGTACAAGACAGATGTTTCTAAGTAATAAGCAGAAATCTCAGCAATTTTTAAGACCGAAGAGGAAGGGAGGGAGGAAGAAACATGTACAAGCTTTGAGGATGTTCTCAGCTCCAGCTTCAAAAAAAACAAAAACAAAACCACACACCACCAAAAATGTATATCTGTAAAAGCAAGTTTTTCCTTAAGCTGTTTGGTAATTCTTAGTTCATAGGAGCATTTTATCCAGAAGGTTCTTCATGTTTCCAGGCTAGGTTGTAGCAATCTCAGTGAGGCACTAAATTTTAGGCTGTTAAAGTCTTTCTGTGCAGCACGGTCATTTTAAAATGATGTGGTAGCCATCATTGCTTTCAGCTGTAACAAAGAAATGCAAAGCATTTTTTCATTGCTTTTAGAAAACAGCACAGATACAGAACTCCAGATTTTCTTCTTAGGTAGTTTGCAATAGTTTGTACTCTTGTTTCACAACCCATTCATGAAAATCAGTGTTGAACATCTAGGTCAAAGCATTTATATAAAAAAATACAACATACCAACTGTCATCTTTTATCATTTTACTAGAAGGTTTTCTGCTCATTTAAGTCAGTGGTATCAATGGATTTATGAAAGTTCTATAACAGTGTAACTGAGAGGAAAGCATAGATCAATCAGTCTATCATAGTGTAAGTTGATGCAACACCTTTACTTACACTAATTTAGATTACTTATCTTTTCAGGGTGACAGCATCAAGTTTGTGATAACGTTTAGTGCAATTGAGAGGAGAAATTATTTTTAGAACTACATGTAATAGCGGCAGCAATACATACCTTTTAATGTGCTGATAACAAAACATGATTCATCTTGGAAGTTTTGCACCATCTGAAGGGCAGAAGGAAAAAAGCCAACACAAAATATTTTTAGCAATTTAAGTTTCTTTCAGTGCCAGTATAGAATTTAGAGGAGAGTTATCAAACAACATTTGGTATCTAGTCCCACACAGTCCTGAGTAACCCTGCCCATAAGATTATTAAAATACATGACTGATTAATTAAGGTCCTTGCAGCTGCTAATGTGCTTAAGAAAAGCTTATACTAAAGTGCTTGCCTGGAACTGATCTGGCTTGTTCAGCATTTTACCATCCCCTTTGCAACTCTTGATCCTGCAAGTTTTTATACCACTCCAGTTAGTCTATTAAAGACCGTGCTCTTAATTGCCTTCAATGAAGCTATACTAGTTTAGACTGGATGAAGACAGTCCCTCTCCTACAATCTGGCAATGGTAACACACACATACATCCAGCTGAACCATGAAGCTTCGTTGAGCTTATATGAGCATCTGGGATAATATCTAGAGGTGGTCAGCCCTGAGAAACAGACTCCTTGCTGAATATAAAGGAATATTGTTACTACAAAGCCATCTCAGCAGTGTCCACCTGGTTATTTTGACCAGACATTAGTATAGATGCTGTGCTTGCAGGAATCATTTACCTGTTTGTATTTTGTTGAGGCACAGGAATCTTAATGAAACTGCTATGAGAGACAAGGCAGATCATGGTAAGCAAGATCAGTATCTAAAGCGATTTGAGTTATTCATAAGAAACAACTAGATTTTCAGAACACGTGCAGGTTCTAGTGAGGCCTCTCTAAAGAGGCGAGTTAAGAGATTCAGCTGACAGAAATGCTCATTTAAGCTTCATCCTTAGTCAATGCTTCCTCCCATCTTAGAGTAGCTGTGTGGGACAGAGGAGGTGAATTACCTTCAAGAGGTGTCTCGTACAGTTGGAGCAGATGCTGGACACCTAACTTCAGGAGGGAGGTGACCAGAACCTCTCTGATCAGCTCAGAAAATCCAGCTTTAAGCAAAAGCCTTCTCCTACCTATTGAATATCATTCAAGTAGAGCACTTTCCAGCTGTAAGTTCTCACACCAAATATCCTTTTCATCTTAGACTAATCTCCCTATTCTCTTTTGGGTTTAACATCCACCCCCTGCTCCTGCAAATCAAACTTCACTGGCCAGTCTGTGTGTCTGTGCCTAATGATGCATGAAGTACATTCATATAGTGCCTCACTCTTGCCACTATAGTACTAGAACAAGAAAAAAATTATAAAAAAAGCAATAGACGTTGTTAATAATTGACTTAAATAAATACTTAAAGCCTTATACCCAACATGGTTCAGGCAATTCCCCTACCAAGAGTTGCCTCCGAGCACTTTACATCCATAAAGCATCAAGGTTTCAGATTTAATCAGGCTGAAATAGCAAGGAGACTTTAGGAATAAGCATTACAGCCTTCAATTTAGGCTCCAGTTGAGACCTATGCTCTGCTTCATTTGTTTTAACAATGTTTCTTATAAATGAAGCTCCTTAAGTGATTCTGGTGCATGAATGAGTAGGTAATTTAGTGGGGGGAAAAGAGGAAGAAGGGCAACTCACTATTAACCTGCAAGTTAATGGAATGGACTAAATTAAGCCATCATATAATGGGACACAAACAGCTAGCAGAGGTCCATGAAATTATAGTGTGCACTTACACAGCACCGTCTCTGACCCAGTGGCTGTAATCACTGGCCAAGATGTAAGACTAATTGCCCTAAAGATTTTCAAACTTGCCTTCTTTAGGAAACTTTCCTATTCAATTTTAAAGGTTCTTACTTTAGATCCTTACTTCAGAATTTGTTTAAGTAGCCAACATGAAAAGGAAATGACTGATTTTGTTGTGTTTTGTTTTCAAAAAAAAAAGCTCTTTTACAAAGCAAAGATCTTAAAACCACACCAAAATCAATGTTATGCATGATTTGCTGTAAGTATTTGCTTTAACTTGTTGGGATTAGTAACCTTGCAAAGCTTCCTTGAAGATTCATTCCATAATTTAAAAGGTCATTCTAACTTCAGGAAGTCAGACAACTGTTACAGCTCTGACAGAGTTTGCATTAACCCCTTACCTCATTGCTCACTAATACATGGATCCCTGTGGGTCCCTGCCGATAGATTCGATTTATCTGCTGTGGAGAAATGCTGTACAAGTTTGCAATCTTCTCGATTAATTCCAGTGTGGTCAATTCTTCCAAGAAGATTGCATGATATACTGCAACAAGTTGAAAGCAATTACAGAATTACAGAGTAATTATAGAATAGCAGCTACAGATAACACCAAGATGCTCAATACCAACAACCAAATAGGTTTAAGATCAAGGTTCAAACCTCGATGGTAGATAAACAAGCTTAGTACCTTTAAAGCAGCCCCCAAATATCCAGCTTGATGATTTGTAGAAAAATACCCAGTATTTGGATGCAGCGGGAAAATAAATCACACATCACTTTTGCCCAGAGGAAAACACAGGGACTAGTGACAATGTGTATCATGGGGCACTAAAAAAACCCTCTCATAAAGATGCTAATATTGTTGGATAATCTACTTTTACTTTGACATTTTAAAGTAAATCCAACTAAATAGTAAAACACATGATATGATGTTACACAAAAGTAGTATTTTATTAGATGTTATCCCACTGACCCCATAGGCACAAACTAAAGACTACAATATGTCAAATAACTGTAGATGACAGTATTCCTTTTTAAATCCAAGCCAAATGGTAGAAACAAGGAGGTAGAAAAGCCGTGCCTGGTTAATGCTATGTGCAAGAACTGAGGACAATCTCTATTCTCATTTGATTGTACATCATGTCATGAGGGATAGTTAAGAGCCATGAGCCCCCAAAAGCTTCAAGCTTCCAAGAATTAGAACCTCACTTTAAGACGTACCAACCTTCCATTTCCCAGAATATTTTCAAACAAGCCATAGTCTAAAGCAAATTGTGGATGGGAAGGTAGTTTTTAATGCTATGGTCCCTACTAAGAATTGAATAGAGACCTTGCTGTGGCATTCTGCAGATAGCTTGTAAGTTGGGCCCGTTTCCCAGGCAGACAGTACCAGCTGGAATCCGTAGCCCTGAAACTAACCAAAGTGTCAGAACTGGGATAAACAGGACCCCTTTAAACACGCAGGAAGGACACCAAGCTGTCCCACGCAGGAGCTCAGGCAGAAAGCAGCATTCTCACCAGATAAGTGTTTTACAAAACCCATACACAGAAACTTACCACAAAGACTGCCATCTCCATTTTCTCGTTTTTGGTGGAGATGGGACCTGTTTTGCTCTGGTTCTTGACAGACATAAATTGTCATCTTGGGCCTTACATTTCTATGGATTATTAAAAAACAGTAGTGAGTTATTTAGTAGATCTAAAATTGTTCCAGTCAGCTAGCAAACACAGAGATGGAATCATTCAGGCTGTGCATAAATAACCAACTAAGGGATAGCCTTGATGCTGGTGACTAGATGTCTTAGGAGGTCTAGTAAGAACCCCCTGGGAGATGGTGGTACAGTGCAAAGCATCTTAATCTCTTCAAGATCAGATAAGAATAAACAGTTTTCAGCACTTCCCAGCAGCTCATCATACCTGCCTTTACTGATTTGAATCCTGCCCAGCTGGAGAATTTATGTTATTGCCATATAAGTAAGTTTAAGAGTCATTTGAGGCTCCAGGGGTTGGTGGGTTGGTTTGTTGTTTGTTACCTGTGATGGAGATGCAACACAGGGTATTGTAGGCTGTGACTCATATGAAGTGGATGGAAGCTATCAACTAGTAGCAAATAAACCACTGGAGATCCATTTATGATGCTTCATTTCGGCAACATTTCTGAGCTTTCCTTGGATTTGAATACCATTGTGATCTCCAGCCTCTAAGATGACCTCTCTGAAGTGTTAAAAGGAGGTCTAAATGCTACAGCTCCAGGATTAACTTCTAGTTAACACTGAAATTATCAAGGGATGCTGCCATAACAAAAAAATAGGAAGGAAGACGTACAAACCTTCCTTTGATTGCATTAAAGAGCCGAATTCCATCAGCAGGCCCACAGATTTGAACAAAATCTTCTTTGGACATCTTCAGTAAGTCAGCACCTACATATTTCAAATTGATTTTTTTTCAGAAGTTAAGCAAATCTTAGCTTCCAAATTGTGTGTATGGGCAGCAGAAAAGGGCAGGGGGAGAGAATCCACAAAGCTAAATCAGACAGATTTGCCTAGAGAAGTTGCAAATTCAGAGAGGTGTACGCTGCAAATCAATCATTATGAAACAGAGAGCTAGAAGCTGCAAAAAGAGCAGTGCTGCACTGGAAGATATTCTAGCCAACTCAGAGACAAGCTAGATATTTAACATTGGCCATTAAATGGCCCAATTTTCTCTAACTGCCAGGTTCACCACGTTGTTTAATCATGTTGCAAGTCAGAGAGAGGCTCCTCAAGGTTTCAACATCTTTAACGATTCCCACTTCCGCTACCCTACTGCTGTGTACAACTACCTAATGGGAGGGTACAGTGAAGATGGAGCTGCAGATGGAGCCAGACTCTTCTCAAAGGTGCACAGGGACAGGATGAGAGGCAGCAGACAGAAGATGGAAGATGGGAAACACTGATTACGTATAAGGAAAAACTTTCTCCCTGTGAGAGTAGTCAAGTATTTGAAGAGGTTGCTTAGAGAGATTGTGGAATTTCCAACCTTGGAGATACTCAAACGCAACTGCACAAGGCCCTGGACTTGCTTCAAGCCGGGGGGTTGCACCTAACGAACTCAAAAAGTCCCTTCCATCTTAACTTATTCTCTTCCATCTTAACTTATGCTATATTTCTACAAACTGTTTTGGCAAATGCTAACTAATCTAGAACAAAAGAACAAACACACTGGATCAGACCAGTGATCCCATCAACGGTGGCCAGCAGCAGATGCTATTGATATGACGCATGAGCTGCACTTACAAAAGAGAATAAAGACAAAATAATTGGACTGTTTAAACTCACCCGAAAAACTTGAGAAGAGTCTACAGAATGGAGAGAACCTATTACGATGAAGCCACTGCTGGGCATCTTGAATAGAAGCAGAAGGAAGGAGATGCTACATTGCAAAAAGAATAAGAGGTCTTGAAATGAACTGTTCACCAGTGTCCTAAAAAAGAAAAGCACCACATTAACATGATCTCAAGTACTTACATCATTGCTGGGAGGCAGGAGCTCCACTTGGTGGGTTGGAGAACTGTTGCTAAAAAAAATTATATAAGGTTGGAAGAGAAAAAAAAAAAACATTATTTTAAATTTTACATTGCATTGTCCATCCTCTTCCCCCTCCTCCATTTGACTCAACTGTCACAAGCTACATACCAACTTTGCTTTTTTCTCTATCAGATTTTAAAAAAGGTGTCCAAAATCTGGACCAAGAAAAAAAAAAAAAACAAAACAAAAAACTCTACTTGAGCCTTTTGTTGGTCAGTTGAGGTCCTGTTCAACACTGAGAGGAAAATTCAGTTCTGACCTCATTCAAGCTTTTCCATACAGGTGACTCACTAATGTGACGCCATCTAAGCAAGGAAGTTGTGACCTACTAGTGTGTCTGAACTGAAACATTCTACGAGCCAGAGATCCCCTAACTAAATCCACTCTCTAATAATGATTCTTTGCAAAAATTTAATAAAGAACCTTGTAATTCAAACCTGGTGTTATTTTAAACATAGTACACTTCAATTTAACTATATTAGACAAAACCACATTTCTACTAAACCCTCCCAAAACATAGACAGGACTTTTACACATCAAGAATTTTCCCAGAGAATTAATAATCTACCACTGGAAGAAAATGCTCAACAGATCTCTCTGCTAACACCAATTTTTGTCATTTCAGTGTTTGTCCTTATTAATAGGTTGAGGTTGCTCATTGAAAATTTGTGATACAACATCAATTAATTAATGAGCTGTGCGGGAAGGTGACAAGGCTGTAGAGTCCTAGAGGAGGAAAGAAAGGCCTATGCCAAATTCCTAGGGGAAAATATATTGCAGGGAGGACTCAGAAGTACCGAGGGACCGTGCTGTGTATTTCTGTCATCAGCTATCATCTTGGGTGTTTCAGGACCACTAAAACTGCTTCTTTATGACAGCTGTATCAATGAATTAAACATGTCTCCTGTTAATCCTTTGTTCTAGAATGGCTTCTCAGAACCCAGACTGTTTTGCTCCAGACAGAATTTCTTTAAATCCCATTCAACTGGGAATTCAGCACCCCAAACCACCTCAAGACAGAAAGGAAGGAAGAAATACCAACTCTGAAGAGGTGCTGAAGGCTGAAAGCCTCTAACACTCTTGTCAGAAGATACTGGGAATTGCTGGTACAGGACATGGTGTGTTCTCTGACGTCTACAGAAGAGCAAGAGAGGAAATTCACGGCAGAAATTGCCCTGTGGTCCTCTGATGCTCACCTCCCATAAGCAGTGAACATACAAACAGTAGTCTGCATTACAGGGAATTCCTGGCTGGAAGATCTTAAAAGTCTTTGCGGGAAATATTTTCCCCTTTCTAGGAAGGGTGGTCCTTGACCTCTTCTTCCAGGGTATGAAATGCATGGACACACAAAACACATGCACACAGAGGCTACCATATCAACAGGAAAGATAAAGCATTTATGTGTTACATACCCATCTCCAAGGTTGAAGCTGTTGGGAGAACTGTTGTAGCTTGGAGACGGAGCATTGTTCATTTGATAAGGCACATCTGGCCAGGGAGAGCACTGTTGGAAGAAAGGCAGCGGGGATACTTTCATAAGGATGGAAATAAAGGATTCGATTCTCCTCTCCTACCACGTTCATGCTGTTGCCACGCCACTAACTTCAGCTCATCACTCCTGCTGGGAGGAGGAGACGGGCCATGGATTTTCTACGCCGCTCTCCAAGCGGGCTGTCAGGGGGCCAGATTGATTCCAGTTGTGCATTCCACATTTCTCCCATTTCACAAAGCCTGTCCCCAAATAACACTGGGCCAAAGTGTGCACAGCTGTAAGTCAGAGCAACGCCAGTAAGTCAACTCAGACTGAAGGCAGCAACGATACAGAAATACCCCTGGTCTCAATTATAAACCCCTAATTAAATCCAGGCAAGAGTGACAAATACGCTCCAGTGGCATTGCTTCAGGTTTATACCAGTGAAAGAGCAGAATTTGAACCAGCCTGTTAAAACCCCTGGCTATTAGTCGAAGAGCTTGAGTTATAAATGGGTATTACAGGGAGAAAATTTAAGATAGACAGACAGACACAAAGCTACTAAAAGTCTTCCCAAATATAGGTCAAACTCCATATTCTATTACAGTAGTGTAAAACCAGAGTAACCCAGATAGAATTGGTGACTCTGTTCTGAATTTAAGCCACTGTAATCAGCAGGAGAAATCTACCCCTGTGGAACCCCCCGCCATCTAGAGCTCAAGGAAACGCTCTGTAGTATCCTTGTTTGCAATGATAAAAAGAAGACAAGCATAGCTTTGGAGTTTTATCATCTCCACAAATACGAGCAAATATTTTATCATCTCCACAAGCACTAGCAAATATTTAACTCTTTGGCAAGCCACATTTCCCCACGCAATATGTCAAAGTGCATCAGAGCTCATAGGAAGAGTTTGGGATCTGCCAACTCAGTAGAATTAGGTCTCTGTACACAAGAACTTCGTTAACAACCACCACGTTGAATTAGAAAACATGTTGGTCGGTCCTGGCAACTTGAGGAAAATTGAGTGGGAGGGACTGGGTCTCATAAACAGGAAGTTTATTTAAATTACGAAAAACCCCTCATTTTTAGAAGTCCAGCAAGCCACTACAAAAAAACAAGAACTAAATCAAACAACAAAATATTCCCATAGGGAGACAGAACAGCACTTTTAAACCACTGTCTTGAGTCCTGTTGCTTAGTAATTCTGCAGCCTGGGGTAAGCTTATATATACACATCTTAGTAATGGCAGGGAGGGGTAGAAACACATACATCTCTATACCAGATGCATCAGAATGTAAGACATTCAAGGTATTCCTAGAGTGCAAGCCAGAATCTTCTGAGATCTAGTATGTAATAGTAGCCTCATAGGCACATTCACAGAAAAACAGATTAATAATTTAATCAGACAGCCTATTCATCTGTTCAAGTGCCCCATCTCCAACATGAGCTTTTGCCAGACAGTTCTGAAGAAAGTACCTCATACAAGTGGCATCTAAGTGCCATGACAAGTGCCCAGGAGCACGGCAGAAGATAGAGAAAACACTTCTTTTAAAGCTAAGGGTTGGTTTATACCCTGAAACATAAGAAACTTTGGCATCTTTTATAAACTTCAACAGTGAGAGACATTTTATAATTCCACTCAGGCCTCAATTTCAGTCAGATCTGGGCATACGTGTCTCCACAAGACAATCTCCAAGGCTCAGTTAGACTGCATTTTCTCTCAAATCTATCTCCCAACATGCTGAAGTAGTATGACACGTGTCTAAAATGCTTTACCTCTGTGAGAATAGTTGTCTCATAGGAAGGCTGATACTTCTCCTTCTCTTGGGTGGTCTTCTTCTCCATTTTTTCCCTGTCAGTCTTCTGTTTTCTGTCTGCTCCTTTAGGCTATAAGCACAAGCACAAGCTTTCCCTTATGCCAAGCATTACAAATTTGGAGACAGAGGCCAAAAGATTTTTTTTCTAATCTGTTCACAAAAGTCTCCTTAAGATTTATGGGGACTCTACATATGGAACAAGATCAGATCTGCATTTTCTAGACAAAAAAATTAGTCAAGCACCTCTACTGTTTCTATAACATCCCCCATTAATGCATATTGCAATTCCAAAATAGGCTGACCACAGTCCTGAGATTTGATACCAACTATTTCAGACCATGAGCCCGATGAGTTATGCACTTCGACTGGTATTTGTACCATCTCTCCAGGAACAAGAAAGACACTGCTCATAGGAGCAAGACTGGAGCAGCAGATCCCTTGAGAAAACAGGCTTATGAAAAGCTTGTTGTTAAGTGACTACAGGTCTGCCATGCCCAAATTAGGAGCTTCAGAGATGAACAGAATCATCTTTCTCTCTTCCAGGTAGCATAGAAAGGAATGCTGCAACCAGCAAAGGGTATTTAAGATCTCCAAGTTACACTCTCACTGTTCATGGAGGATTAAATCAAGGAAACTGGAGATGCCCATACTGTCTTGATTGCCTAGGAGCACCAAAATACCGTAGATACCCTGAATATCATCAGTGTAATATGTTGATTCAAAATGACTTAAACCAGTAGCCTCAATATTCCCAAGAAACTGGACCATATTTTGTATAGTTTGCAATACACATCATCTTCAGGACACAAACTAATGAGGGGCAATGCCTTCTAGAGGCTACTTGTCTATATTCCACAGAAATTTATTTTGTGCACTGATGCCTCTCCAATGGGTTTTCATTCCAACCAGTCGAGGTTTGAGTTGTTGGGGGATTTATTATTATTATTATTATTATTATTATTATTATTTCCACACAACACAGATCTCAGTATTTATATAGTGTTCAAGGCACAATGGACCGGCATAAGTCTTGGTGCGGCACTTGGGTCACTTGAATTTAACCGGAATTGCTGTGTAGCAGCTCAGGGCTTATATCACTTCGTGTGCAAGAGTCCTGTTTAAGATCTTAAGCATAACCAGTTAAAAGTCTGTTCTTTTACCCCCCTATTTGCATCACTCCTACACAATTTAAAAACTGTGCATGTTCCTGTGTCTTTGTCTAATCCAGTTGATGACAAAGCTAAAACCACCTCATACCTTGAACACTTTGATCTGGCAGCTTGCAGAATGCAAGTGTTCTGTGTATTCACCATTTTCATTCTGCTTAAAGGTGTCGATTTGCACCCGGAAGGGCACCCCTTTCTCTCCTCCATGTTTCCGTGGAGTAAATTCTGTGCTGATGCAATGTACCTGGCAAAACAAAAGCTGTGCTCATCTCTGGAGACAGTTGGAAGCTGTGCAAATCTGAATTTCAGACTCCCTGAACTTGCAGGGTGCCTGAACACGAGGTTTTGGTTCCTGCCGAGAAACTAAGAGAGGCAGAAGAGTTCAAAATGTTCCTCAGGACAAAACAATTAGAAGAACAAGGAGCCCGGAGAGAAACAGGGCATCAGGAAAAGCATCCTTTGATTTAAGTAAATCCCACATACAGATTAAAAACAGACAGTTGGCGTTTGGGATGAGAAACACTCATGAAAGAGGAAAGCAAGCAAAACTAACAGGTTGTGAAGTTTCCTCCAGACAAAACCCATGCTTAGAAAGCAACATCCTTTTTTTTTTAAAAAAAAAAAGAAAATCCTAGCTGTAGCGGATAGCAGATAATACTCCAAAGCTAGCAAGTAGCTAGCAAGTTGGTTTACCAAGTATCCTACAAATTAATTATACGTGATTGTTGCTTGAGTTTGTATATTATGATTATCTCTTCTTCATGTCCTGGCTACTTTAACTCTCCAGGTCTTCGTAAAATCTCACCATTGTATTTACCACAGGAATATCACTTCTCTCTTACCTGAATGAATGCTGAGGCTCTCTTTGATGGATCCCACAGAAATTCAACAGTGTTCAACTGGGTTGGGCTAGCCCTGGGATCCAAGATACCAACTGACAGCGGAATATCTGTAGAAGAAAACCCCTAAAATTTTAAAAATATTAAATTGAACAAGAGAAAGCATTTCCATACAATTACAAGATGCATGTGAAAAGCCAAGCCACCAATGATATATCTATTTGGGACCTATAGTGCTAGATCTCCTTCCCACCCAAAGACATACAGGATTCTCTACTATCCTAGGAGAGTAGGATATAAAAAACCTAAACACACATGCAAACACGCCATACATCATTCAGCACCTCGCTTCCAAACACTGCACAGGAACCATAATGAAATAGTCTCACCTATATCAAGTATGCGGTCCCCAGGCCGACTCCACCTCCAGCCCTCGAGCTGCTGATGCTCTGTGTACTGCAGGCGTCGATCATGGAAAACTACACGAATAATGCTCTGTTAAGAAAAGATGGCAAGATGAACAACGTGATCCAAAGGCCCTTCTCTTGAGATGACTTTGGTTTTCCAGTATAGAAGCAAAAGCTGATCTGTTATGTTTCTCACCCCCATTCATGAAGAGAGCAGAGGGTCCACCTAAGAGACCCATCACCATGTTTATGAAATTCCTAAGGGACCCCTGAGTGAGCGAGCAACACACTTTCCCCTTCACATGTCTACACTGCGTAATGCAGCTCTGTACAGCTTTCTGGGATTAGGTCTGGAAGCACTATAGCAATGCCCACCTAATCTTAGGTGTCATGTCATGTGAACATCACTATACTGCCTCCACACCCAAAATGGCTCACATGGGGGTAATATGTAATGTGGCTGTACCATCCCCCAACCCCAGTATATCCCACTCTGACTAGCAAAAGTGAAAGCCAGCTCACCTGGGAGAAAAAAAGGCTGGAATAAGAGCAATCCCCAGGGCAGACAAGTCCGAACTACCCCTAACTAATATATCCTTTTGTATATTGAGAGTGCTATGCTAGCATGAGTCAATGACTCCTTACTTCCCAGTTTCTCAAGTCCATGCTCCTGCTGGGGACTTCTGTATCAAACGGGAGTGAGCATTTTTTGCCAATGAACCTGAGAAATGCCCAAATCAAACCCTGACTCTAAGAAGCAAGCAAGCCACAGTGGGAACGCCTGCAAAATTGGAATCCCAATCCACATGCCTCCTGAAATGGGCCAAAAGACAAACAGGGAACTGCCTAAACTTGGACAACATTTGAAATCCAAATTTTGCAATGAGTCCACACTTCTCAAAAGAAATCCTGAGGCAGAACAGCCAAGAATTTGGGAGAGGAAGGCTTGAAGGTTGGATCCGGATCCAAGGTTGGAACCAAGATCCGGACCCAAGTTCTTGAATTTGAACTGTTTTGGGAGGTAGGAAACGACAAAAAAAATCCCCAGAACCAAACCACCAAGTTCTGTAAGTTCATAATCATGCCCATTACCAAAGTAAACTGGAGCTATGCAGAACCTGCATGGCAGAACAATGTAAGCACCGGGGTCCTCCATTTGACATGTAACAACCCAGGCATGTTGCTGGGGTTAAGAAGGGAGACAAGTCTGCCTCTCAGCAGTTTTGACCATGTTCACCTCTGAACTTTGGGATTCCCCTGAACCCAATATTCACAGTGAAACTCTAGGGTCATGATCACAAACAGAATAAAGGTTCCCCTGAAGCCCTGTAAAGCCAAGCTGCATAGTCCCATGAAACTAGCACTCAACAACTCCATCAGCCCTGCTCCCATTAAAAACAATGGCAAAGTATTTTCCATTGTCTCAGTGTGAGCAAGGTCAGGCCCTTCATTAGAGGCTGTATGTAGTAGCAGGAAGAAAAGAAATCTATATTTCTCCTTACCTTTACATATTTTGTGTTTAAATCTTGAAACTCTCCCAATTTCCTATTCTCAAGTAGACGGATTTCATAAGACTGACCTAGAGTTTAAGGAAACATTTCCAAGGTGTTTAATATGTTGTAGCAATGAGAGAGTCATGCTGGCATTTACGTGGCTAATAAAGCATACGTTTGATCAGGGAAAGCTCATTTTTGGTAACATAATGCATTTGCCCCCAGTAATCGAGTAGGCACTAAAGTACAGCAGAAATCTGAGGTGAAGGTTTGTCTTTTGGCAGCTAAAAGCTCTCAGTTAGGGCATCGATCACAGTCTGTCTCCCAGGGCTGCTACAGTTTTCTGGTCACCCTTCAGAAAGTCACCGAGGTGTTCGAGGCAGTTGTCCCCCCCGTGTCAGTGGCTGTAACAGCACTGCCTTCATCTGTCCCTTCTGCTGAAGCAATGGTTGTGTGAAGAGCTGCTGGCACCACAAGTCTAGGCACTATTCTGCAATGGATAGCAACCTGGGCGAAATCTCTCCTTCTTCAGAGAGCAGTCAGGTCTGTAAGGTGTTTTGGTGAACCAGAAATACAAGATTTGTTCCATAAAGCCTTGAATGTGGCTGCCCAGGGCATAAATACTCCTTCAGACGCGCGTGTGGAAGCAGCAATGGGTATTACAGGATGTGCAAGGACCAGTTCCAGGAAGGGAATTCAGACTCCAGCACCCCACCACCACCCTCAGCATAAGGAATTTAGCCAGTTCAGTAGAATTTAGCTAACTGGTTTACGAAATAACATCTCCCTCCAAGGCTGACAGTAGACAAAGGAGACTGATGTCCCAATACCTTAAGAACAAATGGCTAAGACAGCTCAAAAGCTCATTGTATAGGACCAACTCTGTACAATAAACCTACCGCTGGTACAGAGGCAGGATGGGATCATTAGGATTCATGGAGTGTATGTATACCTTATAGCTAGTTTTTCTTGTTCATCTTGCTATCCTCCCTTTTACTGAAAAAAGTACAACTACGACAAGGCAGGCACCAAGAAGGAGATTAGTTTGGGTTTTCTGGTTCAACCAGTATCTCCTCAGAACTGGCCCTGCAGAAAACTGCAGGGCAGATATACCTCCCTCTAAGCAGTTGCTACCAGCAGAGACAAAAACTGCTACATTTCTGGATCTGGATCTAGAAATAGAAGACTTATGACAGATGTGCCAGGAGGGCACCGCATTTCAGGCAGATTCCCTTTGGGAATCCCAGCTCGTCCGGTTGCCTGCGTGAGTACGGACTGTATCACTAGAGCACAGGGATAATTGTGCTTATTCAGCTGGCTGGCTGGGGGGGGAAAAAAAAAAAAAAAAGCACAAGAGAGGCCATATTGAAGCCCCAAATGTTTGCACAACACTCCTGCTGATGTCAACAGGAGTTCTGCAAACAGGAAATGACCCTTGAAGCCAGCAAGTGGCCCAGGGCATGGGGAGAGGGGAGAATAAACCATATGAAGTACCAAATTAAGCACTGGAAACATGCATAGATCTTAACCCATCTCTTTGCGCCTATGTAAACCAAAATAACAAGTGACCTTCCTTTGAAGATTGCTGGACAACAAAAGTAGATTTTGTAAACCACAGTCCTGAAATTGAGGTCTTTCACACTTTAACTCAAGTGACTTTCTGATGTTCCCACTGATACACGTTAATATTGTTTACTTGGCAACTTTTAGAGAGATTACACATCTCCCTACATAATCAATATTGTTGCATTAGCATAAAAAAGGTCAGGCTCAGGTTCACAAAATTGGTTTTCTATGTTGTATCTGCGTATATGTTGTACATGTGTATCTATGTTGTATGAGGTACTTGGCTGCTTGATGGCTCAAGTTCAGGGATAGATTTCACCAGCTGTAGAGTGATACCATTCATCGCCTCAAACGAATTTACACAGCCAAGCATCTCTTGCACTTACAATTCATTCCCATGCAAATATGAGGCTAATTAATCATTACAGAAAATTAATTTAGTATTTGAGACCATGAGCATCCAAGAGAGATTAAAATACATGTATGACTGTACTCAAGATGAGGTAACAGGGACAGAGAAATTACGTGGCATGAGCTGTGCTATAAAGGAAAGCAACGGTAGAACCAGAAGCACTGCCAGCCGTTCAGGGAGTATCTCAGGAACGAGCAGGTTTTTGGGAGACCTTTATGCACTGATACACTCCTACTCTTTGGTCGGCCTGATCTGCTTATTTGTAGTTCCAATGAGACAAAAGAAAATAATGGGCATAAAAACATCAGCCATGTTCCCTTCAATCTAGCATCAAGCACTCAAAAACTCTGCAGCATGCGTCTTCCGACCACTTGCACGGGATAGGAACACCACTGCAACCTGGCAGACAGCAGGCACCGCACATCTCCTGACAGGAGTGATTCAGCTTGGATGGAGTTAGAAATAGATTCTGCCCACTGGTAAAAAAGAAACGGTAGCGGAGACAGAGTTAATATTAAATGGAAAGCCAAAGAGGAAATAAAATGCTTTGATGAAAGATATATGGGTCATCTGATGTAAGCCCTGGAACTCAGTTTACGCCATGAAAAACCTCAATCAAGATGGTATTTTATGCTAACTGCTTTCCCCTTGACCTCTGAATGTTTAACTCCAGCTACTACACAGAACTATTACCAAAACAAGACTGCTCCCAGCCAAGCTTCATAAACATGCAGTTTATTTCCCTCTCTGTGGAATTCTATCAGTAAGAATTTGGTCCTAATTCCTCACAATTCCATTATATATAAATGTTTTGGTATTGATTTTGAAAAATTCATTCTCCCTACATCTTATTCCAGCAAATATATTGCTTTGTGGCTAGTGGTACCCATAATTTATTGGTATAGCATGGACAGGTTTCAGATGCTTGTACTTTTATAGCACCAAACTCCTTGGATTATATTTTTTCCTTGAAAAATACCTTCCAAACCTTGTTTACCCTATGTTTTCCATCATCACTACCAGCAAAACTCCTGAAATGGCGAATTACAATCTCAGCCCTGCAATTAGACAAATTGCAGGGAAAAAAACCCAAAACTAAAGAATCAGTACTTGGATGCTGGAAAACAGGATCCCTTTGTAAAATGAAGCCAATAATAGCGACCTAAACCTGAAGAAAGCTGAACTCCCCCTGGCGTCAAAGAGAGCGAAGAAGTCACTCAAGGCTCTGGTACACAGATCATCTATGAATCCTGCATCGCTGACTCATCAGCACTAGCAGGCATAGACTGCAATTTTCTGCTAAAACTAAATCAGTAACAGATCACTCTTACTCAGGTGCCTAAATCTGTAAAGAAACGTGGCTGCAAGTGTGATTAAAACAAACAGTATTCCCAGTTCCCAAGACAGACTGCAACTAGCTAAGCCCAAAACAGACAGCTGAAAGATAGAGTTCCCCTATACTGAGTTTTTCCATCTGTCTCAGATGGAAATACAGATTAATACAGGTTAGACTACATCTTTCCAAGGCAACACTTGGTGGTAAAGCTGGAGACAGGGACAGAGGGTACCGATGCTGAGACACTGCAATGATTTGACTGAATGGTCTGAGCTTGACCAGGGCAGTATCTGGTTCTCAGCTGAGAAGGGTGTAACATCCACCGGGCTCAGATGGAAGCAAGAGCCTGAAGAAAACATCCGTGACAATGGAGAGCAGCGATGGCAGTTTCACAGCAGTCCCCCTTCACCAGGATGATATTCAACATTGCTGAACGTTAGTCTTAAAGCCAGTGCTAAAGGCCAGCAACTTGCTGAAACCCTTTTCCTTCCATGCTCTCAACATTGGCCATAGCTGCACCACCACAGGCAACATAGGTTCAAGATAACTTCAAAGCTGGTGACCAGCCTGGCCTCTGGTCATGTTGTAATACTGGACACAACCATACAAGGGCACCTAAAGCATCTCTATCACTCCTTGAAATGAAGAATACATTTTGCAAGCAAACCCCCAGTCTAGCTGAGGCCGAAGCAGCCTCCTGCCTGCCTGCGCGACACGGTGCTCCCCTCACACAGGGCTTGCCACAGCCCTTCTTCCCTACCTCAGGCAGGGAACAGAACGGTAATAAATATTTGGAAAACCACATTAAATTCCTGAGATGCAATTTGTCTCTTCAGCTTTACTGAAAGCTTCAGGGGCACCAGTAAAAACCGGGGCGGGTGATGATACACTGTAATTTGTATTTTGAACAGACATTCCCTGAGCAACAGCAAATTTATGCAATCTCCTCCTAGGCTAGAGTTTGAGCAACTCTGCTTTACAAACAAGAGTAGTATCCAGCAAAGTAGTAACCACCCAGGTCCAGAGAGTTCCTGCCTGGTGATTCATAAAGCAATTGCATCTACCTTAAAGAGGATTTACAGACTGTTTACTTTTTAAACTTTTATTGTCTTTGGTAATTAGCGCACATTAAATGCAGGCATGACCACTTAGTCTGGGGACAAAAGAACTGAAAGTCAACAATTTGCTACGGATGAAAAATAATTTAGTTTAACGTGGGAACGCTTTCACATGCTCAAAAGGTACAAGCTGTAACAGTTTAGCTGATTTCCAGCGCTGGAATTTAGTCAGCCATCAGGAATTCTAGGCAACTTCTGATTATAGAAGATTATCATTATTTCAAGCTCAAAGTTACATTTTGTTCAGAGATTATTTGCTACACAACCACAATATCCTGCTTGCCTTTTTTTGTAACAGTGTTACGTTTCAAGGGCCACTTGCACTACGCATTTTGTGGTTTTCTGCACGATACACCGATACGATACACTAATTTCCAATTAGGATGCCGATGTTGCAGACCAATATGACTCAGGCCTTACTTAATCTAGCCAGTCTGCTTGCCTTTCCAGCAATTAATTAAACCCTAACTTTATACTAAGCAATATCCCTAACAAAAGTCAGTGGAAAGAAAAAAAACAACTGCAAGTCCTCTTTCTCAGAATGGATCCACACAGCACTAGACAGAACCAGCCTGGAAACTGTTTGATTATTAAGCCAAGCTGGCCAATAAAAATTCCATTTAGCAACTTTATATGGACATCCTAAATAGTGCA